TAGTTATATATATATATATATATATATATATATATATTATTTCCAAAACTAGCCTTTCCCTTTCATGAAAAGTTGTGACTTTTATGAAAGGTTATGACCTTTCTGAAGGGTTATAATTTTTTCAAAGAGTTGTGACATTTTCGATAAGGCGCAATAAACATTTGTTCACACTACCCTTTGTTGTCTATTATATATAGAAGAATTTCCTCTCATTTTAAAACAACAAAAATTCTTAACTTCTTTCTTCTGCACAATTAGATATTCGTGAACTTTGCTCCAGTTGAGTGGCTTACTGACACTATTATTTTTGTATCAATATGTTGGTGAATAAAATGGTTCCATACTATGAGGATCTAATTATTTAAACCTCATGTATTAGAGGGGAATAATTTTCTTAAGGGGATATTGTGCATTCAGTGAACTCAATTTTTTCCTTTCTGATTTTATTCTATTTTTACATATCCTTTTATTTTTTTACGGTCATAATTTATGCTTATGATGTCAATTATTGTCTTTGAGTTTCTGTTTTAAAAAAATCTGTTGTTTATGTTTATGCAAAGTTATTGTCTCCAGTTATATTGAACATATACATATAATAGGTATATTCATTGTGCAGAAAATAATTATCGTACTCAATTCCAAGAATTCATGTTTTGATATTCTATATTAAATTTTATAACTTAAAAGTACTATATATAAGCTTAAATAATATCTATTTTAACATCGATATGAAGTTTCTCACTAATCAATTGAAGAAATTCATTATGCAAGTTTAAAAGTTATAATTGCTTTCATGTTCAAGCATAATTTCTATTTTGAACCTGTAAACAAATTTTTGAATTTTTCTATTAGGCATATCACAATTGTATAATCTATGCAACTTAAATGTGTTCTTTTTCTTACAAAATGCCTTTGTATATATATTCTTATTTTCTTCTTTATTTTCCTTTTAATGTTGATTAAAGAATCAATTAATTATTATTTCCTGTACAATTAATTTCATTTCACATTATTTGTACTAGTATTTTCATCCTAAGAGTCAAAAGGCCTACAATCTCTAAATTCCACGGGGTCTTAAGAAGACCATAGCACAATGAAACAAAAGATGCATATATGTGACACCAACTGATCGGGATTAAGGCTAGCATGTTGGTACACTTAAAATTAGGTGATGTGTTGTCAGGAGTGTTTAGAGTACACTTAAAATTAGGTGATGTGCTGTCAGGAGTGTTTAGAGTACACTTAAAATTAGGTGATGTGCTGTCAGGAGTGTTTAGATGTATATATCAGTAAAAAGTAATGAGAATTTCTAGTGGTAGAGATCCCTTAATTTGTCCTAAACTACAAGCTTTTGAGTGTGAATGCAATATGCGCAAATGGATGTTGAGGATTCATAGCTGACCTTAACTAGTTAGAGATTGAGGTGCATGCTTTTTTGTTGCCTTTACATATTTGTTGTTCAGTTTCATGTTTCAGCCCCATGAGCTTTCCTAACAGGAAACAAACTTTTACCTGAACTTTACATGCTTCTGTTGCAGGACTAAAGGAGCTTGATTTGACTGGAAACCTGCTTTCTGATTGGAAGGTAATGCATTGCTTCTCTGAGTGAAGTTGGATCCTATTCTGTTTTGTTGTGTAATTTCAGCAGATTGCTGATTGTAACCAGATTCTTCTCGGATGCATTCTCTACCTGTTGATGACTGATTATGCGATGTGATGATTTTTACCTGTACAATTTTGGGTATAGATTAAGAAGTTAATTTTGACCACATGATATGCTCTTCAAAGAAAAACTTCTTTTGTAAGTAGTAAAGAAGGTTAACTAGCTACTAGGAAAACATTAGATCATGGTTCAAATCTGAAATGGTTAATTGCATGTTAAAGCTTAATAGTTTCAAGGGTCTGTTGGATTGTAAGTGTCTTGAACATTAGACTGAAAACTTGTCATGTGAACTGGTTTAAACTTAGATATCAAATGGGAAGGAGATGGGGAGATTGTGTTCATGCTGATTTCCTTTTCCATCATACTTTACTCAAAGTTTACTTTCTTAGATATAATATATTGGATTTTCAACTCTAAAAGGGGCAATTAAACTCTGACCTTGTCTCAAGAAAGCATGAGTCCAACTTTTTGGTTGTAATGTTTAGTAGTACTGCAGGATGTAGAGAATCAAAGTCAAAAGAAAACTCATATAATTAATTGCAGGATTCTTTGTATTCAATCATTTTTGTGCACTGTTGTAATACAGAACTGTGGTACCAGTGCTTTTGCTCTCTCTCTATTAAAAAAATACTATTTAGCTGAGCAAGCATATCTTCACAGGAAATTGCTGCAATCTGTAAAGAGTTACCAGCTCTTGTAACTCTGAACTTATCATACAACAGCATGTCTCACGATATAAGTGGGATGCCCCTGCTAAATCACATCAAAGTTGTTGTTTTGAGCCACACCGGTATAGGCTGGAAACAGGTGAGAGCAGCCTTTTGCTGTCTTCTTCCATTTAACTTAATCGTTGATTGAGTTAGAGGTACTTGATTTGGCAGGTCGAAATGCTTAAAGACTCTATCCCTCTTATTGAAGAGCTCCATCTGATGGGAAATAAGCTGAGAGGAATAACGGTGTGTTTTCCCTTATTAGAGTTATTGTCAGTTAAATCTCAATTTTCTGCTGTTAATTGTTAATATCCACAAGTTTTATGAGTTCTTCCTTACTGAAGATAAATAGCTGTCTTATGCCATTATCTTTTCATCTTTTTTGTTTCTTTTTGTGATCTCTCTCTTAGACGGGGAAAATTGTCATATAACAAAACAAACAAGTGTTAACTCACTGTCTAGTAAAAATCCTTCCAATTTCACTGATATATGCTTAAGCGTGCTAGGAGCTATTGAAGATAACGTTGTGATTTGAACCCATGAGTTTGCACGATGATTCATCTGTTATCTAGCATAAACTTCATTGTGACTCCAACATTTGCTTTTATTCCTGGAGCATCATCATTTTCTTATGACGGAATAGATCATCTGCGAGATAAGAGGATGATGAGGATTTTTGGAGGTGCTCTCAGCTATGGTTGCAAGATGATTGTGGGATACACAACCAAATATTCCAGACAGAATGCCAAATTTAGTTGTCTTGCCATTTCTTATAGTTTAACAGGAATATCCACATATCTTGACTCTCATATTGACCACTCAGGTTTTAATGAGATTCGGCGTGGTAATAACAAGTATTTGCTTAATTTTGTTTGCCACATGAAAATTGGGGTATAAAGTTTGCTACTGCATTCAGTCGTTAGTTGGGAGAACATTTAACCGGGGCGAAATCAATTTAACAGATTATGTCCAGACAAATGCCGGTTCCAGAATTACCAGAGCAGAACTTTTAAATTTTCAGATGGAAGGCATATATACTGTTTGAAAGTTCCTACCAAGTCTATCCTTTGAGTAAAGTGCTCATCAATGATCATATTCATTTCCTCGTAACTGACATCAAGTACAATTACTATTCTACTACTCATGTCTGTAACCAATAGAGTACTAAATGAACTTATATATGAAGTACAAGGATGAATCTCTACATATATGTAAATTAGATAGAGGTCTCATGGTTAATGAAGTTCATTGAGAACCATGAGGTCTCTGGTTCAAATCCCAGCGGAGGTAAAAACTCTTGGTAATTTGTTTCATTTGTCCAATCCTTGGTAGATAGAGTTACCCCCTACTTGTGTTGGTGGGATGTAGCAGGTACCTTGTGGAATTAGTCGAGGTACACGCAAGCTGGTCCACACACTACAATTATAAAAAAATGATCTAAATTATTCACTGATTTGCTTAAAGTTTTTTTTTCTTTTCCAGCCATTATCTTCAGATATTGTTCATGGATTTGATTCTCTCCGTCTTCTCAATTTGGAGAATAATTTAATAGCTGCCTGGGATGAAATCTTGAAGCTGTCACAGTTAAAAAGGTGATGCAAATTAATGTCCTTGTCTAACACATTACTGTTATATTGCATGTCAATGAGATTCTAGTTTGCCTTCTTACATTCAGATTGGAACAGCTCTTTTTGAATAACAACTGTATCAGTCATATCTGGTACCCTGATCATAATCCATTATCTGAACCACCCAATAGTCTTGAACTTCTTCGGGAAAGCTTTAGGCCTTTCCAGAATCTTCGTTGCCTTCTTGTGGGTAATGCTGCAACTCTTTCTTGAATTAGTATTACTCCTGATATTTAATTGAGATAACTGGTAGGTTACTTGTTGCATTTACAGGAGGGAACAAAATTGAAGACTTTTCTTCTATTGATACACTTAATCTTTTTCCTAATTTGTTGGTAAGATTTTTTAAAGCATTTTGTCATGAGTTATTTGGATAATGATTTGTTACTATAAGTTAAACTCTTATCTGGAAAACGAATGTAATAAACCGTGTTTGTATCTAAATTCTTGTGGTGGAGCTTCATATCAAGTGATCTAAATATTTTAGTGTTACACATTAGATACATATCTTGAGATTATGCAGGCACTACATGCGTGTCTTTTTCTTTATCCTTCACTATCTTCCATAATACGTTGCTGGTATGATAATTATGACATAATGTGGTTGTTTCCATTGGATCTCACTTCGTATCCAAATGGTTCTTGCAATTTACAACTTTGCATTTTACTCGAGGGGGATAACCTGTTCTCTTTGCATTTCTTATGGGTTTATGAGAACTATAAAGTATGATGTTTTTTTTATTGTATTAGTAGCTGACTTTTACTTGTATACAATAAAAAGTTTTTTCCATCAATAAGTCTCAACGAACTAAGTGCAAGCTAGCTTTTAAAGCTATAGCCATGTTTAAGCTGTACGTGTTGTCACTAATTTGAGCTATTTTCTGCCTTTCACATTGTAGTTTTTGCTACTTTTGGTTTCACCTCCTTCAACATTCAAGGTTCTTCTTGAAGCTTTCGAATCTTGAGTAGGCATTTATCAGGCATTACTATAGTCGAACAAATAAATAAAGAAATTTTAAAAGAATATCACTGTTGAGTAATAACTATTCTAGACATACTTATTCTTCTCAAGGAAAGCTACTCTAGAGATACTACAGTTGTCAAAAAATGTTCAAAAATTTCTAAGTGCTTAAAACCTTCCAATGGTCTATTTGGTATAACACAATGGAAAGAGCTAAACTGACATGTCAAAGGTTGTGTGTATGTGCAACTCTTATTGCTGCAAGGAAGAAATGAAGTCCCATTATTCTCTTCCGTTGTCGAAGTTCTTTCATCATTAAAGACCAAAGGTTGCTAATTGCAGTGAACCGCAATTTACTTGCTTGCTATCTATACAAGTGTAGCTCCTACAAAGTTTAACTCTCTACAAGCCTTGGGATCTTGTTTCAAATTCATGTTATTGGTCAAATTTTTGTAGGATATAAGGCTTTCTGAGAATCCAATAGCAGATCCAAGAAAAGGTGGTGTCCCCCGGTTTGTTTTGATTGCTCGTCTTGCAAAAGTTGAAATTTTAAATGGAAGCCAGGTAAAACCTCATATTCTATTAACTCATTTTTGCAAGCATTTGAAGTTGCTCAAGTCTTTCGTTCCTTCTATCTCTTTCAGGTTAGTCCTCGAGAGAGGAAAGACTCTGAAATTCGGTATGTTCTCTTTCTTATGTATCATGTGCTAATAAATTCAGAGTGATTACATCTGGATCATTATTATTTACCTCTGCATCTAGAAATGGTTTTTTGGTAAATTAATTAAATGATATCATAAAAGCATCAAGAAGATGCGAAGTTACAAAGGAACAAATGAAGCTTCACCAAACAGAATTTTTGAAGCATGCTTTGTAGAAGACGTGTAAAAAAAGCGAAAAGAGAAATCCCTACATCTCTACTGAACTAGAGATACGGAACTTATGGTAATGAATATCATGAGTCCATGTTTTAACTAATCTTCGTTATTATGTTTTAATTAATCTTTGAAGAACCGAAATTCTATTGAATGTTTTTAAAAAAATAACATAAATAAATAAATGTATATATATATATATACACACACACACACACACACACACACATATATATATATGGTGTGTGTGTGTGTTTGTGTGTGTGTGTATTCCTTAGCTAAAAAACAAAAGTCAACTAAATTAAAATTAATCATGAAAAAATCGAAGTAGCAACAAATTTATACTTCAATAGTTAACTTCAAATGTTAATTCCCAAGACAAACCCAAGCGTATTTTTGCCGATTTACGTCATGTAAGGGAATCCATCTTCATCCTTGTTTTTCTCGAGAAGTAGTTGGAGGCACAATGTTCTTGACAAAGACAAACATGGTCTTTTTAGCGCAATAAGTGTTTCATGGTAAGACACATCATCACTTCTTTTTTTTAAGATAAAGGTAACTGTCTATTCACAGTAGGCTCATCATCAAACAAATGATGAGCATAGGTCACTTTCAATCTCATCAGAGCATGCCAAAACTACCCTATGGGAGGTTACAAATTTCCTATGAAATCAACAAAAAGTTTTATATCCCCCACCATATTTTGCTTACACGAAAAATACAATAGACTAAGGCAATTCATTCTAATCTTCTGAGTCTTATCGTCGAAGCATCTTGCATTTCTTTCTTTCTGCGGAGTCCACCATATGCAAGATGGGATTAACTCCCACCAATCTTCACCAAAACGTCTTCTTTCTATCTCCTCCCAGTTGTATAATATGTCCTTAGTAGTCCTTGGCGTTACCCAATTCATACCAGTATACACAGAGACATGTTCCATAGGTTTGTAGCCACTTTGCAATGGAGGAAAAGATGTCCATCAACTTCTGCATCTTGATCACACATGAAGCACCTCGAACATATTTCTCTCCCTTTTTTCTGAAGCACTTCATGAGTCAAACATGCCCTTCTACATACCAACCAAGCAAACTTGATTTTTTAAATGTCTTACTATACTTTGATTTTTTAAATGTCTTATTATACTTTGATTTTTCCTCATTTTATTTTTCATTCGCACCAAAAACCATTTTAAAAACATTGAACCAAATCGAATTAGTTCGGTTTGGTATTGGGTGCACACTTTTTGAAAATCAAAAATTGAATCGAAGAACCGAACGCCCACCCGTAGTCTGGGGGATAAAACCTATTTGTCTCTTTATGTTTGAAATATATTAACTGCGTACCCATCATGTACAGAAAAAAGTGTCAGTCTATTTATTTAAGTTTAACTTCAATTTTTTTGAGTTATATTGAAATTCTGGGAACTTCTAAATAGAAGCCAAAAAACTAAAGGGAAGTTGTTATTCTTCTTTCTCTTTTTTTTTTTGAAACTTGCAACTTTTTATATTCCTAAGCATTAAGGGCGCTATGTTGGCCACCTCCAAAAAACTGTTACAGTTATTTTTTTTTGAGAAGGTAACGTTGTGTATATTCATTGAAATCAGTGCTTGGGTTGCACTATACCATATTTACAGCTTGTCAAAAAGTAGGAAACTGAATCTGAATCCTAACAGGAACCTAGGATATCTATAATGGATTCAGTGTCCTCTAAATACTTTTGCTTGCACCAGAAATAGAAAAGCCTGATACAATTTGATCTTTTGGAGATCACAATTCTTGCTCACAGAACATCTAGCATTTCTTTCTTTCCAAACAGTCCACCAAATACAGGCTGGGACATCCTCCATATATCTCTATCTGCAGCTCCAACCCCTACTCCCCAACTGTATAAAAGATGCGTGATTTTGTTAGGCATAGCCCAAGCAAAACCCCTGAGACTAATGAAAATCCTCCATAGTTGGGATGTTATTCTGCACTAGAGAAACAGATGATTGATTGTCTCAACCTCTTCCCCACATAAATAGCATCTAGAATACATGGAGAACTTCCTTTTCTTGAGATTTTCATGTGTTAAAATTGCTTCTCTTGCTAGAAGCCAAGTGAAACATGACACCTTGAAAGGGATTTTAGGTTTCCAAATCTGTTTCCAAGGCCAAAGAGAAGGTCGTTATCCATCTTGATTTACCAACTTATATGCAGAGTTTACCTTGAATGTGCCTTTGTTATTTCTGCTCCACCATAATCTATCAAGTTCATCCCTTGTTTCTGTAAAAGCTTCCAACCTACCATAAAAATCAGTCACGGTCTCGATTTCCCAGTCATTGGAATTCCTTCTAAACTGGAAATTCCATCCATGTTGTGTCCAAACCTCAGCTACACTCACTGGTTTATTCACTGCCAAGTCATGCATCTCTGGAAAGATACTCTTCAAGCTAAAGTTGCCCAACCATTTATCCTCCCAAAATGAAGTCTTGATGCCATTTCCTACCCTTATGGTCGTATTGATCTTCAAGAGAGGCCACAAGATTCTGATGGACTTCCATAGGCTTACTCCATATGGTGTAAGTACCTCCTTTGTCATCCATTTGTTCTCTTCTCCATATTTTGCTCGAATTACTTGTCCCCAGTATGGTTGATGCTCTTGAGAATACCTCCATAACCACTTTATTTTAAGGGCTTTGCTTTGCTTTTTCGAATTCCTTACTCCAAGACCCCCATGTTTCTTCCCCAGAGAACCTTGTTCCACATGACTAAATGTTAGACATTGGAATCATTTTCTTGTGTCCCTTTCCATAAGAAATCCCTCCTAATTTTATCAAGTCTTTGTATCACCCCATTAGGAATAGGGAAGATGGACATCATGTAAGTAGGTAAGGCATCCAAAACTGAATTAATGAGAGTGACTCTGCCTCCAAAGGAGATATATTGAGATTTCCATCTAGTAAGCTTTTTCTCACACTTTTCAATCACTGGGTTCCAGATGTTCAAAACCTTTGATTTGGCTCCTAAGTGCATGCCCAGATAAATGGTAGGCAAAGAACCTACTTCCCCTCCCAAAATCCATGACAGTTATTAGAAACATTATTAATAGGATACAACTGACTCTTTCTCCAGTTGATATGCAAACCCGAGACTCCTTCAAGCAACACCAAAATTGATCTTGAAACCAATAGTTGTCTCTCATTAGCATCGCAAAATATTAAGGTGTCATCTGCATACTGTAAATGAGTGACTTCCATGTTGCCATTTGATATTGAGGTTTGAGTTGTGGCTACCTCAAACCCCCTGAGGCATTCGTTCTCTGTAGCCACCTTTATTATGTTATTTAGGTCCTCCATAACAGTGATAAAAAGGAAAGGAGATAGGGGATCTCCTTGCCTCAGACCCCTTTGAGCAGGGAAAAAACCTTTTGGTGCACCATTTATAAGGACTGAGAATCTAACAGTAGAGATGCAATACTTGATCCACTGAATCCACCTCCTTTCAAAACCCATACATGTAAACATCTTCAACAAAAACTTCCAGTTCACGTGGTCATATGCCTTTTCTATGTCCAGTTTGCACAAAATTCCTGCCTTTCCTTGGGTAATTCTTAAATTTACTATTTCGTTTGCAATTAGAATGGCATCCATTATTTGTCGATTTTTAATGAATGCCATCTGTTGAGCATCCACTAGCTTGTCAACCACTTTCTTCAGCCTTTCAGTGAGCACTTTGGATAACAACTTATATACACTTCCGATAAGGCTGATGGGCCTAAAATCTCTCAGTTTCTTGGCACCATTCTTCTTTGGGATCAAAGTAATGTAGGTGGCATTAAAGCTCTTCTCAAAGATATTGTGAGAATGGAAATTCTTAAAGGTATTTTATGATATCCTTCTTCACTACATCCCAACACTTGATAAAAAACCCCATTGTGTAACCATCTGGACCAGGAGCTTTGTCTATGGCACACATCTTCAGACATGCTAGTACTTCTTGCTCCTTAAATTCCCTTTGGAGCAGTTCGTTTTCTGCTTCAGTGACCATTGGACAGTTGATTAGGTTTCTGGAAGGTCTTCTATATGAGGTTTCTGAATAAAGCTTCTAACAAAAACCAATAATCTCCCCTTTAATTCTGTGGATCCTTCAGTCTTTCATCTTGAATTATCATTTGATCAATGTTGTTGCATCTTTTGTATGCATTGGCCATTTTGTGGAAATAGTTGGCATTTTTGTCCCCCTCTTTCAGCCACAAAGTTCTTGATCTTTGTCTCCATGCTATCCCTTCATTTTTAAGATGTTCTTCATAGTTCATAATCAAAGATGCCTTCATTGCTTCCTCTGATAGAATTCTATTTTCCATTACCGCATCCAGCATAACTAACTGACTTAGGATTTGGACCTTTTTGTAACCCTAGATTGCCAAAGCTGGTTCTACTCCAGTCCTTCAATTTGCCTTGTAGGGCCTTGAGCTTACACCCAAGGATATAATCAGGCTTACAGTGAATAAAAGACTCCCACCATTCTCTAATTTTTTTCCCACAAAACCCTCCGTGTTGAGACACCATTTATCAAACGTGAAATAGGATTTGTTTTGCTCCCAAGCTTCACATTGTAGAGCAATGGGACTGTGATCTGAGCACAATCTCGATAACACTACTTGTTGAATTCTGCTAAAGTTGGCATCCCACTCCTTGGAAATTAAAATCCTAAATTCTAGAAGCAACATTGTTATTGTCCCCTTTAAACCAAGTGTAGTTACCCCCTACCAATTTTAAGTCCACCAAGTCCATATCTTCAATAAAATCAGAGAACTCTATCA